ATAATTTATTCTGAATATAAGTTGAAGTGTGATCTAAAGTATCGCTGCAAAATTTATTAAATCATTCTGCTTACCGGATATTTGAAATGCAGAATGACGTAATTGCTCATTCGCAAGCAACGCATTGCAAATTAATTGTCAGCTACGGATTTGATGGCTCAACAGGACAAAGTATATATAAACATCGATTTCACACGGAAAAGCCTGTTGGATTAGATCAGACATTGTTTGTAACCACAATAATTCCCTTGAAATTAAAAGATTACAAAAATCAAATTGTTTGGTTAAATCCTTCTCCTCAATCGGCCAGATTCTGCCGACCCATTAAAATGGAATTTATTAGGAAAACAACTTAAACTCTAACAAGAAAGGAAAGCTAACTTCGGGCGGAGCCGAAGTTGATATACCCTTGCAGTTAAACCCGGATATATATTGCAAACATCGGATATAGTTGGCCGATCCTTATGATTACATCATAATAAAACCAATTAACTAATATAAAAAATCTAAAAAAAAGTGCCAAACTTCTATCTTCAAAAATACGAAAGTTGATATTTCTACCAAATACCATTTCCGATCCTTCAGTTATATGGCAGCTATAGGATATAGTCGGTCCTTATGAAATTTGGCATGTCGTTATGTTTTGCCAAAAATAGCTTTCGTGTAAAATGTGAACTCTCTAACTCTAAAAACTCTAAAGTTATACCATTTCCGATCAATCAGTTATATGGCAGCTATAGGATATAGTCAGCCGATCCGGCCCGTTCCGACTTATATACCGTGTGCAATGGAAAGAAGAGTGTGTGCAAAGTTTCAAGACGATAGCTTCAAAACTGAGAGACTAGTTCGCGTAGAAACGGACAGACAGACGGACAGACAGGCGGACAGACAGACGGAAATATTGAGTCAATAAAATTTCATATTACACTAGTAGCCATAAAAATGGAATAAATCCTTGGCATGCATGGATACGATTCTTCGAGGGCGGGCTAAAAGTATAATACCGAATGGATCTAAAGAAATGGCGAGTCATAGGCTTAGACAAAGATGTCCTTGCGTTACGGAAAACAAGTATTCAACGTAGATTATGGGATGGAATGAGTTTGAACGTAGACAACCCTAAGCAAAATGAAAGTGGCAATAGTAATGATCGAAATACCGCCAAACAGATGCAGATGTCAAAAGTTATCAAAAAATTTAAGTTCTAACGAGACATTTTGAATAATTTTATATATCATTTAATTGCTGCATCGTGTGAATATAGAGTATGCCCAGAAAAATTTAAAGATTTATGTAAGAAAACGTTCAATTTATACGTTGAAACTTATGATTGGTACCCAATGATGGAAACCCCCGTACATCCTCTAGGTGCTCTCGGTGAAAATGCGTCAGAAGCCCGCAATAAATTGTACAAACGCAATAGGCTTTCTCATGCAAGGAAAAACAGTCCTATCTGTTTGAATACCATACCAGACGTGTTCAATAGAGGATTGTATTACTCTGACCCACTGCTTTATAGTTATAGTTGAACTATAAATCTAAAGGAACGCCAAAGATTAAATTATAATAAAAACGCTACCAAGAGATTTTATAGCTCTTTTGGAATCTCCTGATATTGAACTTCCAGCAGCATGTGTAGATAATAAAGTTAATTAGGTAGAAGATCTTGGAAATAATGAATTCGAAATACCTGGGCTGGATTTCCTGGAGTTGAAGGAAGAGCTTTGGGAAGAATAAATTATTAACTGGGCATCAAGGTATGGAGTTACAAAACTTAATATTGGGCTATAACTGATTTAAAATTTAGTTTTTCAGGTATCCAAATCATCTTTATAATGAAAATTTGCCAAAAAATATATTAATTAAATACATTTAGTGTACATTTATTAAATATATTACGTAAAAATATTTTTGGTAATGTAGGCGGGAAGAAAGGCGTGGTTCCATTAAAAAAATCTAAAATTCTATCTTTATTTTTAGTTATATGTACCAAGTTTCGTGTTTCTATCTTCCAAAATGCCGCAATTTGGGATTTTTTGCCCACTATCGTTTCATATCGAGGTACGCAGCCACAACATACTCCTTGGCCTCAAATCCTTCCAGGCTAACGTTTACCACCCTGTTCAGTTATTCAGGCGTTCTATGTGATATACGGAAACCAAAAAGAAAGGTGGGTATGCTGTTCTTCATTTCCCTGATGTCCAGTATTCGAGAAGCAAGGTACATCTTGAATAATTAACCACTGAGGGTTTTAGCAAAGTTTATACAGTATGTACATAGAAGAAACATCTCATAGAAACAAAAGTGTTTCTATGGCGGGTTCCAGTTAAGTTTTAGAACTTTTTCACGCGAAAACGAATGAGGGAAATCATAGTGGGGAGTGAAAAGAGTTCAATCTCTCGTTCTCGTTCTCTCGTTCAGATCTCTATAGGAAAACTCCTATATGCGTTGATGATGCGTTCATAAAATATTGAGATGGGGCAATTTTTGGTTAAAAATATTTTACTCAACGCTGATATGGTTTCGACCTGTTTCATTATATCCGTTTTGCAAGTTTCACAGTTTATTTTTGAAAGTGTCTTTGAAGCTACACACTTTACAAAATATCTTTCGGACACAAGTTTTAAATTAAAAATTAACAGATCCAAATAGTCATTCTCTATGCATGTATGGTATTTGTGTTGCAACTGTCTATAATGTCTTCGTCAATTATTTGAGCTACGTCAAAAGGACTTTCTTCAGGGGTCATTGAAATAATTGGTCTAATTGGTCATTAAACAAAAAAATAATATATTTTAATGACTTTCTATTGTTTTGCAACGCTGGTCGATATTTATATTATTTACTATGCATGCAGTCAAAAATGTCTACACTACAGTAGATATGGCTCCTGCGTTATAGGCGGAATTAAATAGAGGCTGACCTTCTGAACGGTTTTACTGAATAATTGTTTCGCATATTTCACTCGCATTATTTAAAAGATGTTTGGAAATATATGCAGGCGTTAGGTTGGCAATCTACTTCATTTCCTTAAACTTCGATTTGCAAAGATTAGATGAAGTGGTTCCTCCATTATTCACCATAATCGAATTTCCAAGATTCGGTCCTAGTGCTGTTAAGGTGGTCAATACTAATAGTGCCCTGCACTAAAGTATGCCACCACAGATTGTCTTGAACAGTTTTTCGGAGCTCTTTGAAGTATGCAGTTGATATTTAATGATTTGGATGCACGAGTTGATGTGCCACTACCGAGGTCTTTTTCTTTATTATTTAACACAGTTAAAAGAAGCTGTTTTTATCCGATACTTGGTTTTCACATACGTCAAGTTCAGACCTGGGTTGGCATACCAGTACATACCAGTAATTAAATTTTTAAACTTTTTAAAAAGTTTTTTTGAAATAATATTATTTTTTATACGTACAGTCAGAGCCACAAAAAAAGCCGCACTTTGAAGATTTAGAAATTTTTAACTTTCAGGGCCTATGGTTTCTTTATATGATTGCGAATTCGCCCAACTTTTTTTTTAATAAGTTAACTGATGTTTATGTTAATAAAAGTGCATACCAATTTTTAGTTTAAGTTTGTTTTTAATATTAAAAAAATGTTGTTTTTTGGTTTCTTCCTCGTTTTAACGACTTTTCACTATTATGAACAAATTCAACAAAAACTATTTATTTCCAGTTGAATACCGTACTAACTATAAAAAAAAAATTTAAATCTAGGCAGTTTAACAATAGACATATTTTTTTATTTTAGCTTAATACTTAATAATTCCGCCTTTGGCCTTAATTACGGATTTTGGCCTATTGGGCATAGAATCGTAAATGGAACACAAATATTCCTTCGTTATATCGTGTATCCATACTTTTTCTATAATTTGTTTTAAATTCTCCATAGTTTTGGGCTTTCGCTTTTTTATTTTGGCACCCATATAGGCCCAAACATTCTATATTGGATTATGGTCTGAGCTGTTTCCTGGCCAATCTAAGGACTTAATGCCCAATTCTTTCTACATATGGATATGCATCCCCATACCATAACATACGGTGAATGCTTTACTGTGACTATGCAGAAATTTTCAGAATAGCGTTCCCCACGTCTACGGCGCACCTTGAGAATTCCATCAGATCCAATGAGATTAAATTTGGACTCATATAAAAATAGCACTCTTGACCAATCAGAAGCAGTCCAATTTTCCTTGTCCTTGTGGCTTTTTTGCAGGTGATCTTGCGCGCATTCCCATGGAGTTAAGCCGACGTTGAACAGTTCGCTCCGAAATATCTTTTGAAAACTGTTCCTGAACCTCTGATCTTATCTGCACTGCAGTTTTGAAACGATCCTGCAGGATTGTCCTCATAATAAAGCGATCTTCTCGTGACGTGATTCATTTTTTTTACCTGTTCCTTGTTTTCTTTTTTCACCTGTCTCACGATATTTTTCACGATATACATACGGTCGCAAACGTACGCCACTTTAAAATTCAATATAAAAAAAAATTCTTAAAAAAGTCGTTATTTTTTTTTAAATTTCAATAGTTTACACTAAAATGACTTAACACATGAAGTTTTATCCACCTGCTTTCACTTAATGCGAAGCAATTACAATAAAATTATGTTTTGGGTCGCGAACGTACGATTAGAACATAGATAAGAATCAAAATACAAATTAAGAGGTAATTGAACATTTTTTTGCTCTCTTTGAATTTTTCTCGTCTTATTAGATTGTTACTAAGAGATTTAGTACAACAAGAGCAAACACATCATATGTTTTTCTTGAGGAATAAATAAACATAAAAAGGTCTTTAAAAGTAAAAAGAAGCTGAAAGGTTTTTTTTTTAAAGAAGCTGAGATATGCTATGAATCCAATAGATTATGAAAATTTGGATATTTATTTATGAAAATACAAAAAAAGAATCGAGGAATATGGACATTTATTTTTTCGGTCCTGGTTGACTAGTCTCCGGAATAGCCAATATATATTATAAATTTTTCACAAAAAATTTATGAATTTGAGCCTTTATTAAGACGTAAAGCCTCAATTCAAATGTTTAAATGCTTAGAAGTAGTTTCAAAGCTTAGCCTTTGGGAGGCAACACTGAAAACTTGTAAAACGTCACTCCCTCAGGGTTGATGCGCGTACTAAAGGAATCTTTTGGCTTATACAAGCCAAAATTGTGGCTCCGGTTAAACAAGTCCTGTAAATGTTCAAAAATCATCATTTTTATTAAATTTAATTATAAAAATATTACCATAACATTATATCCCCTTCGACTGTTAAGGCCTAGGCGGTATAGCTGAACTTTGTAGACCTGCGGACACAATGGGCACTCGGCAAAACCTCCCAGGTTTAAAAATGCTATTGCAAAGGATTTTTTACCAAAATTGCTCACCGGTGTAACGGGTCGAATCCAAACCTACCAAAAAAAAGTTTTAAAGTTCACGTAGCTTATTAAAAAATCTACCTGTATATTATGCGACGTTAAAACTTTATGGCCAGGTTGACCCAAAGGGTCTTGATTAATGCCAATAATGTCCCTATTCAGAAGCAGATTCTTAATTTCCGGTCGAACGCTCTCCAAATCGTTTGTCATAATCAAAGGAGCAGCAATAACTGACCATATAGCCAATTGCAAACGGCTGGCATCGTAGCTCAGATGATAATTACCCAGCACAAGCTTTGAAAACAAACAAAAAAATACTCAAAATGTATAAAAAAGAATGATATTTACCTTCGGATATGGAACTGATAAATATATTATTGTTATAAAAATTAGGATAAATGTTTATGGGAAATCTAAATTTTGAATGGAGAAAAAAAAATGTCACCTAGTTTCACCTTTATATTTATACTGTGTTGTAGAGTGTTGCATACTTTTTTAAAAGAATGTAGTCTTAAAGTGTAATTTTTTCCACTTTTTGAGAAATTATCCTTTTTTTGATGCGATCTCGAGTTCTAAAGCATAAAAAACATTCCTCTGTTATCGCCCATACATTTTCTTTATTGAATAACTTTTATGCTTTTTATCCAATCTGGACAAAATTTTTAAGTCATATTAAAAGTATGAAACAGAATATTTTGTCAAATTTTAAGTCATTAGCTTTAGCAATTTTCTCCATATTAAATCATTTTTAATTTTTGTTGGCGGGAAGGGGCGTGGTAAAATTAAAATACTTTATTTATTTGCCTGTAACGTAAACGCATATTGATAATTTTGGTGAGTGGTGAGGGCGGTGGGGGCGCTGGCACGCCCACTCTTCTATACTAGCATCATCTATACTTGTTCCTAATCTAAATAGTTAAAAAACAAGCTCAGTGAAAAATCTCTTTCGATTTACTGGTATTATTTAAGGCCACAAAAATTGGTTGTTGACCCCATAGTAAATATTACAAGTGAACCAAAAGAGGTTTTTTAATGCAATTTTGTTGTAGTATGTTGGGTTAGGCTGCAGAACTATAAAAAAGAGGGCGTATAACACCCCGGCCCACAAAAAATGAAAAAAAATTGAGCTAGCTAGTTTTTTAGAGCTAGACTTACAAAAGTTTATCAGCAATTTTTTTTTATGTTGCCGTCAAATTAATCTAAGCTTAGAATTTTGCCACGCCCCTTTCCGCACCCATAAATGAAAAAAATTTATATTATTATCCATTTTCAAATTAGGGCACACACAATATTTATGCAATTTTTTATGTCTTAAAATTTTATCCATATTGAACAAAAGCCCGGTAAGTTATTTAATGAAAAGTTGCTCGACACCCCTTCAAGCAACTCCACCTAGCAAACAACTTGACGTTGGCAAAGGCAAAGGTTAACTAAGATAAATATAAATATGTCTAGTAGCGTGGAAAAGTGCACAATGAGACTAACTTATATTGATTCAGAATTAAACCAGCTACAACATACATGTAGACATACACCGAAATAAAGCTCTATTACAAAACACTTCTCAAAGTTTAAATTTATTTCTAAAAATCCAGATAAAAGGGCTTTTAATAAATTATTATTTATAAATGTTAGTATAGAATATAAATTTTACCCAAATTTGATCAATTCAATTTAACACACATTTAAATTTAATTCAAAAACTTAAAAAAAACGTCTAAATGCCTCATAAAGTAGGTAAATACTCCATACTGCACATATGTGTATATGTACATACACATAAAGTTTACACAACTTAAAGACTATGCATTAAGGGACTTAATTGAATAAATTTGTATGATAGTAAATTTAAACTTCGTTCTAGTCTTATAGACTCGTAAAAAAATTATAAATTTTAGCAGAACTTAATTATAAGAATTATGGAACTTTCTATGCATTTTGTTTATGTTGCAAACTACTAATTTCATAAGGATCGCCTGATCTCATAAGTGCAATTTACATAACTGAACGTTCGGATAGACAAAACTTTGGATTTTAGAAAGTGTAGTTTCGGAAAACTTTTCCTTCTAGGAGATCAAGGTTAGCTTTTCTTTCTTGTTTTAATAAGAAATAGTTTTGTTTGGTTAGCGAATACAATAGAGTTTTAGGATATCAGCTTTTACCATATCTGGATCGTTCCAACGACCGGGACCAGCATGTGCAGCCAATTCAGTTTGCTTTTTGCTGTATTGCATCATAATGTTAGTTACAGAAGCCATAGAGTCCTGAATATCTTGCGCAAATCGCCAAAGATTGCAGTGCTGCGCTATTAATTTGAAATCTGGCTGAAAATTGTTTATTATCACCAATGTTCTAACACAGTAAAAACTTTTATTTACCCGAGCCTTGTAATAAGGCCAACTGCATGAGTAAACCATGGGACGACCCGTATGGTTTAGAGCACGACCGAATTCGGGATATCCCTGATCCAACTCCGATTCACTGGCAAAGCATCCGTCCATCTTGACATAGTCCACGCCCCAGTTAGCAAAGGTTCGGGCATCAAGATTAAAATGACGGGCGGCCCCAGGGCCTTGAAACATACATGTTCTTTCACCAAGATCATGGTAAATTCCAAAAAGAAGCCCCTTGCTGTGAATCTACGCCAATATAGAGAAATATGTACCGATATTTCCGATAAAAAAAAAACACGGACTTACATAGTTTCCAAGATTCCGCATGCCACTTGGGAACCGATCCTCGCTTGGTAGAAGTTCATGAGTAGCCATGTCGCGAGAAGCTTCCATCCAACAGTCGTCAATAATTAAATATCGATATCCTGCAGCGGCATATCCCTCAGAAACCAGAAGATTGGCAGTTCGTCTTATAAGCCTCTCACTAACAGGTAAGATAAATTTACATTGAGGATTACCAAATATTTAAGCCATACAACCTTATACAATCTTTTGGAAAGCGGACACAATCCGTCACGCAACGAAACCGCTCAAATGGCATCCATCCCATGGGTGGCGTTCGTGCCAGTCCGTTTTCTAGTCCATTTACCACATGTATTCCGACGCAATCCCATGTAGAAAGTAATAACAGCAACAAGTGGCATCTTGCGATGGACATTTTGTAAAAGTGTAGAGTGGAAAGAAAAAGCAAAGCATCTTTCAGTGTCGAATGGGCAAAACTAATTGTATTTGGCAGCGTAAAAAGCAAAATGGTACAAATGGTACTGCCGTTGCTGAGTTGTTTATAACTGTACAATGGTGCTGAAACTTTTTTAATTACAAATTTTATATTTTTTTTTAAATTACAAATAATACACCCATTATTTTTTTTTTATAATATTGATTAGGAACAACAATATGAACAACTCTATTATTTTGAAGACATTTAAACCTTCTTAATTATTTTGCACGCAGCATTAAGTTGGAACTGGCAGGGTCGGTTGACTGGCTTATAAGTGAAGGATCGGAAATATCAAACCTATATTAACCAATTCGGGTGAGTCAATTCCAATAACCTGGTCTTTTGTGATAAAAATATCAAATTAGTTTTCATTGAACTCCCTGCATCGTCTCAAGATACAATAGTTTTTTATATTATCGTTTATTATAATAGTTTTTATTATTTTTATTATATCACTGCGGGCAGCAGTCCATGTCGGTGACGAAAAACATGCTGTTGCATACAAAATTCATATACATAATGTACATCTTCTGTGTGTGCCGCTGTTAATGAGTGATTAACCAATCGAAAAGTATTATTTCAATTTTAATATAAAACCTTTCAAAAGGATTCTCAAAATAAAAAATTTTAGATTACTTTTGTATGTTTTGAAACAAACAAACCTGGATAAATCGGATTCCTACGGCTTTTTTATATCAAATAAAAAAGCCTTTTATATCAATATAATATTTCACAATAAAAACAATTCTTGCACGGCACGTGTCTTTGTTTTAGTTTTGATTTAGTTTTTCTGGCACGTGCCGAATGAGAATAGTTTTTTAAATTTTAAGATCTCAAATACTATAAGAGATATCTTTTGTTGTATTGCCACTTCATTAATGTTTTTAGAAAATGTTTTATTAAAATTTACTTTTACAATGGCTAATCTACATTAAAACTCGAGCAATTTTTAGAAGAGCTATATTATGAAGAGTTTCTTTGAATTTTGCTTTACCACTGAATCGGTAGTACGTAGGGAGGACGTAGGGAGTAGTAAGGGGCTTCGGGTCTTTTTCCCAAGTGCAAAAGTATTCAACTAAAATTAATTGCTGAGAATCCATACATTTAAACTTAAAAGTTTAAACTTTAAAAGTTAGCTAAAGTGTGGTTGGAAGAGATGTGTACCGGGTATAGTCAGGAAACGCGACTTTTTCCCTTTTTTTATTTGTTAAGAGATGGACCTATAGGATTTGGCATAGAGGCTCATCGAGATAAGACCTATGAGTAAGTTTGTTTTAAGTTTTAACTTTAATTAAGGTTTTTCGAACCAAACTATTTCTATAGTTAATTTTCATGTGAAAAACTTATTTCTTATATGTTGTTGATGCTGATCAACAATATGTATGTATACTTTATATATGTATACTTTATGGGGTATACTTTATGGGGTTATGGGATATATATGTATACTTTGGAATATGTATACTTTATGGGGTCGGAGATGATTCCTTCTCTATATTACATAAATTCGCACGACTACAATATACTCTTGTACTCTACAAGTACCGGGTATGAAAAGGTCCCAAGCTTCTATCTTCAAAAATACCAAAGTATCTTCAAAAATTTTTACCAAATACCATTTCCGATCGTTCATATGGAAGCTATAAGATATAGTCGGCCGATGGTTATGAAAATCGGTAGGTCGGGTCAACTCAGTTGACCGCTTGTTCAGTTATATGTCAGCTATAGGATATAGTCGGGCGATCCCGGCCGTTCCGACTTACATATATACTGCGTACAAAGGATAGAAGGGTGTGTGCAAAGTTTCAAGTTTCAAGAAGCTTTAAAACTGAGACACTAGTTTGCATAGAAACAGACACACTCAGGAGGTGATTCTGATCAAGAATATATATACTTTATAGGGTCGGAGACGTCTACTTCACTGCGTTGCACACTTTTGACCAAAATTATAATAGCCTCTGCAAGGGTCTACAAATATTACCCTGTACCCTGTAGTACACTGTTAAAATCTAATTACCCTAACGATTACGATAACGACCCTAAGCACCATAAATTTAAAAATTTTTTTCTCATTTTAAAAGGGAAAAACATGATATTCATTGAAAAAATTTTTGTTTGATTTGTTAGTTGCAATAGATTTAAAGGAAGTACGCAAATATTTCACTTTTCATATTTCCCCAGACTCTATGCGATCGCATGACGGAAAAACTGAGAGTTCTCTAAGTTTAAGGCTTTAAGCCTTAAAGTTTAAGGCTTCTAAAACTATCAGGGGAAACATTTACCCTCAGTATCTAGGAATTGCGCTAGGCAGAAAACAGGACTGGAAGCTAAATACTATGGGTAGAGCAAACAAGTCGACTATCATGCTCTTTACCTGCCGCAAGGCCATTAGACTCAAATGGGTCATGTTATGGTCATGGGTAGTAGACTAGTGGCCTGCTCTAACAAATTTTCCTATGTAGGAATAGGTTAAGGAAAACGCAAAGGATGGCGGAGGTCTGCATTACAGGTAATCTCCGCACCACACCAAAAGATGCCCCAGACTTCATACTCAATATATTACCTGTGGAGATAATGGAGGTCAAAATAGTGACGCTATCGGCAATCTACGCGAGGCAGGTCACCGTTTCACGCCTAAAGAGGCTACGGACTACTGTATACCCGTCGATTATCCCACCTTTAGCTATAAGGTCTCCATTCCATTGAGGGGGCAATGGACCACAAAAATCCCGGGACCCGAGACCCTTTTTATATACACAGACTGTTCGAAGTTAAATATTCAGGTAGGAGGTGGTTTCCACTGCGAGCGGCTGTGTCTAAATGAGTGCTTCAGACTCCCTGACCCCTGCTTTAAAGGTTTGTTAAAGGGTGGGGGGAAGAAATGAGTACCGGATATAATATTATACAACTTTCACTATCAAATTAAAAAAAGGACAGATAAGACTAAAACAAAAAAAATACTTAGAAACAACAACAATTATAAAATGAAAATTCTCTTTAATGTGTGTTGTCTATTATTTATTGTTTAGATAAGATATTATTTACACAGTTAAATATATCTATGTAAGTATTGGTGGTTGTTTCGAATTGGCCTTCTGAGGTAATTTAAGTTATACTTGAAGAGGTACAATGGTATAACTGAGTAAAACTTTACCTTAACTTTAACTTTTTGAAGGCTTAATTCCGTTTGTTTCTTAATTCCCAATTACTCGCATTGAGGATTAGCAGAAAGTTTGACACCAACCTAAGCAAAGAAAAAACTAAGGTTTGCAACAGACCTAGTGTCTGTGATTTCGTTTGGTTTTTTCATTTTCAATGACTAAACGACACTTTTGTTTCGATTTATGGCACCGTAAAAGCCAAAGTGCCGCAGTTGTAATTTTACAACTCAAGGGCAGAAAATGTATTTGGAATTGAGACTCTACTTTTGCTTCTGAAGAGGTGAAATCCCAAGAGTTTGGTGACATAGAATTTATGTGCGTTAAAATCACTATGTCCGTGAAATCTTTATACATGACATATTCATATATACCGCCTACATATTGGCAGCATTTCGACACGTCTTTAAGCTTATGACGGGTCGTGACCAACTCGTAGCGGTGGGCGACTTTAATATCCCAGAATTAAAGTGGTCCAACGTCGATAACTCACCATCTTTGTCACTTATCACTCACCATGACTTCACCGCGGGCATGTTTGACATGTCCCTAGGTCAGATTAACCATGTTAGAAATTTGTAAGGTCGGCTTTTAGACTTATGTTTTGTATCTGATCCTGACGGTACCGCTCTCTCCAGAGCTTTTCTCCTTTCAACCCCAGAGGATCCATATCACCCCACGCTGGAGGTCTCTATCGAAACTATTCCTGGTATCGATCAGATGTCTCTATGCGTGGCAAATAAGATTCGCTGCTTCCGTAAAGCAGATTTTCAGAAACTTAATAGCCTTGCCTTATCGATACATACGATTGGTCCGATATTCTGGCATGCACTGATCTTAGTCACTTTAGAAAAATTTTACTATACTTTAAATAAATTTTTTGACACCTGTTTGCCATGGAAATATCCGTCTGCTTCAACAAATCCTCCTTGGTATACAAGGTGCCTCACTAACCTAAAAAATATTAAAAATAGGCTCTTACTAAAATAAAAAAAACCTGCAGTGTTGATTTTTCAATATACTAGCTCGGTCGAATTTTACCGTGCATAACGCGGAATTTTATAGGAATTATATTGACCGCTGCCGGATACAACTTCCAAAAGCAGGATCCAAAGCAGTTTTATAATTTTGTAAACACTACGCGTAAACACGTATCTTTTTCACCCCTGCTTACGTTTGAAAATGCCTCTGCGACCTCTGATCAGGCCATTGCCGATCTATTCGCAGAATTTTTTAATATTATTTCTTTTTTATTTTATTTTTTTATTTCCACTTTTTATTTCCAGGAAACGTAATCATTATAAGTAATATATTTAAAATTACTTTGTAATGATTACTCAACGATTTTTAATTTTTTAAATCAAAACTAATAATTATTTTTGATCGAAAAAAATAAAAATCACAAATAATCATTAAGCTTGAATAAAAAAAATAAAACTCAAAAATAATGATTATTCGTGATTTTTATTTTTTTTGATCAAAAATAAAACTCACCAAGCAATAACTTTTGATCCTTTAACGATATTTCCAATATTGTCCAATATAAAGTACTGAAGACAAAGCTTTACATCATCTGCATACATAAGAACTAGAGAGTTCGTTAAATCAGGGGGCAAGTCGTTTATAAAAAGCGTAAATAATAACGGGCCAAGATGACTTCCTTGAGGGACGCCAGATGTAGCACGGACCAGACGGGACTGTATGTTTTTAAATAAGACTCTTTGTGTCCTTCCATCTAGGTAGCTGGAGATCCACGTTAAGAGGTCTTTAGGAAAACCCAGCATATTCAGTTTACTCAACAAGAGTGAGTGATTAACT